AAGGATTATTATTATTCACAGTGTCCTGGGACACATGGACAAGCTGGCCAAGGCTGTGGCTGTCAGGACGGCCAGCCTCCTTTTCACGACTGGTTTGGAGGGTGGCCCTGAGTCCAGAGGAAACGCAGCTCCTGGTATGGGCCTCGCACATAGTAAATGCATGGCTGCCTTCCCTGCCCTGGGATTACTAACCAGCTCAGTGTCTTCCCATGTTCTCTTCTGCCCCCTTGGGAGAGAACATTGTCTTTCCCAAGAGAGGGTTCCATTTTGAATCTCTGCACAGAACAGCCTCAGAACGCGGGGACGACTGAATGCGCCAAGTGAACAATGGAGCCACGTGGTTATAGAAGGCCATCCCGTTCTCAGAGAGCTAAACATATTACAAAATCATCGATCACAACTGTTCATCGACAGGTCTTGATCGTATCTTGTTGCCTTCTGAACTTAATTTTGTTCTTTTACTTTGCAATTACACCCGTGATGGCTGATAGTGACTAGAGTTTCTGTTTGCAGCACTTTTAACTGTTTCCATCTGTGTCTAAACGGGATTAACTTTATAGCTTTTTAAAAATCACTGGTATCAGTGCATCCAGTTTTCCATTTTCTCCTCATTTTTACTAAATAATAAGGTAAAAACATGCAATTTTCATAAACATACACTGTTTTCCAGGTAATCAAAGGGAGCTGCCAAAATTGACCTGTTGGCTTGGCAAGAAGCGCCCCTGTGCCAAAGCTAAAATGTTTGGGCTTAGAGTATGGCAGGCAGTTTTGGGTATAATGTATGAAAATGTCGATTGTGGGAACTCCCTTCCATTTGCTGGATGGGTTGCTGCCTGATTCATGAATCATTCAGTGAGACCAATTAGATCTTCAAAAAAAATTTTTTTAAAATGTGATTGTGTGTGAAACATGGAATTGGTTTCTGCCCCTTCTTAAATATGACAAGAGAGACACTAAGTCCTCTCAGTGATTGGTGTGGCCTCCAGAAGGTTCTGGACTCTGCCCAGGGCTACTCCATTGAGAGTGTTGGCACCAAGATCATGAAGCATCTTGGTCCAACCTCCTGGAATGCCAATGAGCATTTTCTGGATTGACTGGCCATGAAAAACCAGGTGTTTTGTGCTCACTGCTGCCAACCACAGACATGCCCATAGCACCTGGCAGTGCTGGCTGATGGCAGAGGACAGTCCTGAATTTCAAAATTCAAATTCAAAAGCCCCCGGGGAAGGGCTTCACTTCCAGACCACAGCTGTGTTAGGCCCAGGTGTTCCCTTCCCCTAAAACTCCTTTGGGATTGGATGCACTGGATCGTCTGGGCTGCTTTCTCACCCAAAGTGCAAACAATTACTTTTACTAACCCGAATTCTCATTTCCAAACTTCTCTGTAGTCTCCCCTGGCACAATCCTGTAGCCCTTTCTCCCTTCACAGTCCCTTTCGATGCACCTTCTAGAACATTTGCTCTGTGGTCAGCACATTCTTTGTATTGTTTCCTCAAATACTCTCTCCATGTCTTTGCTCAAAACTCAGCTCTCTCCCTGAGCACAGCTTCCCTGCGGCCTCTGGAGGGGACACTTATTCCTCAGACCCCAAATTCCTACAATGGGGAGGTGGTCTTGCTGTCCTCCTTGTTCCGTTTCATTCTTTCCTCCCCACTCCCCGCTCCCCCTCGCCCCCCGCACTCCATGGGCTCACACCATTCCTTCCCCTGTCCCTCCACTATGGGCTCACACCATTGGATTTTCCCACCTCACCTCCTCATTGTGACCTTCTCCCGGGTGCCACTTCTCACTTTCACTTCTGGATAACCTTTATCGCAAAGTCCACTCCTGCCACGAGGGAAGCTTCAACAGCCACATGGATGGCCCTTCAGGCCTCTGACTCTATGTCCCTGGTCTCCTCACCAGGCCAGTTCTCATATTTGCAGCAAGATACTCCATCCCAGTCTCATCACCTTTCTTGCAGTTGCTTGGTGATTCCAGATGCGTTCTGTCATGTTTCTTCTGCTTGGAAAGTTCTCTTTCTACCTTGGGGACTGGCTAACGTACAACCATCCTTCCACCTTAGCGGAAATATGCTTTTTGGAAAGTTTCTCCTTGGTCACCCATGTTCTCTGTTCACGCCCTCTCGTAGCCATTTCCTTCATCACGCTTGTCATGGGTTTGCCTGATGTGGTTAATTGCTTAATACTCGGCACCTCAGTGGAATGGAAACTCCACGAGGGGCAGAAGCCCTTTTGTCCGCTTACTCCTGCAGCCCCAGCACAGAGCCTCTACAGATATTTGTGAATGACAGAGTGAAAGGAATAAGCCTGCAACAGGGTGTGGTGGGAAAAGCTTTTGTTCTATAGCCTCCTTCAGCCTAAAATCATTTCCCTCAGCGCCGAACTCCATCGGTTATGGAGAAAACCTGCAGCATTATCTCCGTTCCCCAGCTAGGATGGAATTTAGGATCCAAACGATAAGCTGTAAAAGGAAGGAACAAATCCAATATGGAAAGAAATACAAAATAGAGAATACTCCCCCGAGTGGCTACACATCTCCACTGTAAGCAGTAATCTCTGTGTTCAGCTATTGAGACTAGCATTATTTACATGTTTCTAATCCTCTTACCTTCTAATCAAGATCATCCCAATAGCTTTCCGTTTAGACTTTCAATCTCGTTATGCATTCACAGGCATTTCTTTGTCAAGTGTTGTGTTGGTACCATTATAATCTCCTGGGCTTAAACAAGTATTCATTCTTCTTACTTCTAATGTAGCTCAGCTCTATCAGAGCTACGTTTTTAAGTTTTCCATGCTAATGCCTTCATGAAACTAATAGTAAATGTAAAATGAAATAGCAATGAAAAGAAATCACCTATATGTCTGAATGCTGTCTATCACAATCTCTGATTTCATTAGTTTTTACTTGGCTACTTAGAGAGGCTTGTACAGTTTTTGGACTTTTTCATAAGAATTTTCTTCTCTTCTTTCCTCTTTTTGATCTCCTCTGAGCAATTGCATTGTACTAAGAATTAGGTGAAATAGGATAGGAGAGATGAAAAGAATTAGGTGGGACAGGATCGGAGAGATGAAAAGGGGTAATAACAAACTTTGCTTTTCCTTAAGAAAAAAATGTATCTCATAGTACAGGCAATGTTTTAAGAGCTGATGAAAGAAAAAAGGTCTGTTGATGACAAACTCAGCTATTAGTCTGAAAAGGCTAATTCTTCCTCCTATTGTTTTTGTTGTTGTGGCCGGGCATACAATTTTACCCCCCCCAGTATTCCATTCAATTGTCTTTTACTTAAAAATGCCCCCTGCCCTTATTTTGTATTGCCAAAATATCCAGGCCCAGAGAATTAAAAACACGTGCTGATTTATAAAAATGTTTCAAATTAATATAAGGGAGTATTGTCTGAAATTCATTCTAAGTTTTTGATAAAAAACATTCCATTAGGATTGTGCAGAATATATTGGGAAACTATATAGAAAAAAAGCTGAAAAAAAATGTGTACACTGACGTACATTAGACAGTTTCTTAGTGGCTGAAGTGATTCTTCACTTCTCACTAATTACATATTTGTGGAAATAAAGGATTTATTATCTGCTAGCTTAAGTGTAATAAAAGGCCGGGACCGGTTTGGCTCAGTGGATAGAGCGTCGGCCTGCGGACTGAAAGGTCCTGGGTTCGATTCCGGGCAAGGGCATGTGCCTTGGTTGCGGGCACATCCCCAGTAGGGGGTGTGCAAGAGGCAGCTGATCGATGACTCTCTCTCATCGATGTTTCTAACTTTCTATCCCTCTCTCTTCATCTCTGTGAAAATCAATAAAATATATTTTAAAAAAATCTAAAAAAAAAAAAAGTGTAATAAAGGGTTTTTCTAAGCACTCCTTCTTAGCACCAGTAGTTAGAGAACGAATTCCACAATATGCAATTATAACGTATTTTGCTATTACTGCTATTGCTATAATTTGAGAATGCAGAGGAATTTAAAAAAAAAATGGAGAGTTACATAATCTTTCTCTGACCCTCAAGATTCTTACTGTCAATCTTGTAGTCTGATTTGTGAAATAGGGCATGAAGCTTGGTATTTTAAGTTTGCCAAACTTTCTGGCTTTAATGTATAGAGGAGTTAGAAACTTAAAAAAACATACCCATGAACATTTCAAACGCATTGATTTTTTTTTTTTTTAAGTCACCCTGCTAAGTTTCAGTTTTTATTCTCGGTTTTGAGGTTTGGGTGGCGTGGGCTAAGGCCGCGAGCAGCCCATAAAGGAACGTGTTCAATGTGCGAACGTTTTCAATGGCTCCCTAGCTCCGTCCCCAAACCAAGGCCGGGCTGCGAGGCCCTGGACAGCGCGAGGGCCCGGTAAACCCGGCGGGCCCCCCAAAACCCCACCGAAAGGGGTGGCAGGTGGCACTAGATTGGGGTTGGCATTCCGCTGCAGGAGGCGGCCAGGCTCTCGGTCGTCAGGGCAACCAGGTTGCGAACGCGCATGCGCTGCCGAACTCCCCCTTATGACGAGAGGCCGAACGAGGAGGCGGGGCCGGACGAGGGGGCGGGGCCGGAAGAACGCTCACCCCGAACGACCGCCCCTCCGAGTGCAGCCCCAGCCGGGGCGGGGCGAACCTCTGCCCTATTGCTTTGGGGGTGACTCACAGACCCCGCCCCTTTCCTCTTGCCTTCCTCGTACCACGTGTTCCCCGGGCCACGCCTCCAGCCGCCCTTCCCAACGGCCTGTGGGAAGCTGCTGCAAAATGTCGTGAGGGGCGTCGCCGCTTTACGGTCGCCTCTCCCCGACGAGAGGCCGGGAGCGCCCACCGCCGCCAGCCCCGTCTCCCAGAGTCAGCCCGGCGGAGAGCGAGCGACCCGGCGCCCCGCCGCCCTCCCCGCCGCCGCGCCGGCCCGGCCCTCGGCGATGTGACTGCGAGGAGGCCGCGCTGCCCCCTTGGCCCGGGGGCCGAGACGGGCGGCAGGTGCCTGTAAGACGGGCGGGTGCTGGGGGCCGGCCGGCAGGATGGAGGAGAGCATGGAGGAGGAGGAGGGGGGCAGCTACGAGGCGATGATGGACGACCAGAACCACAACAACTGGGAGGCCGCGGTGGACGGCTTCCGGCAGCCCCCGCCGCCCCCCTCGCCGATGCCAGCCCCGGCCCGCGAGCCGCCGGGGGGCCCGCTGCTGGCGCCGGCGGCCGCGGCGGACAGGAAGGGCCCCAAGGAGGGGCTCCCGCTGGGCCCGCCGCCGCCGCCGCCGGAGGCCAATGGGGTGGTCATGATGGTGAAGAGCTGCGACGCCGCCGCCGCCGCGGCCAAGGCGGTCCCCGCCCCCAGCCCCGGCTCCACCATCAACATCAACACGTCCACCTCCAAGTTCCGTGAGTCCCGCCGCCGCCGCCCCCGCCGCCCGGGCGCCCCTCCTCCCCGCCCGGAGGCCGCCCCCACCCCTGCGGAGCAGCCCCGCTTCCTTTGTCTCCAGGCCCGGGTCTCCCCTCCCCTCCGGTCCCCGCCTCCCTCCTCCCAGCCCTCCGCCCCCGCCGCGATCGGTGGCCGCGGCCCCGGCGTCTAGGGTTACCCGGCCCCGCGCGGAGCCCGGCGCCCCAGCCGCCCGGCTTCTGCCTGAGCGCCGCCGGCTGTCACCCCGCTCTCCTCCGCGCCCCCTGGAAGCTTCCCCTCCAACGGGAGAGCAAAATAAGGCTCAGCTGGAGTTTCCACAGGGAGAGGACTTCCGCTTCTCTCTTATTTATTTATTTATTTATTTATTTATTTATTTATTTATTTATTTATTTATTTTTTTCCTTTTTGCAGCCAGAGAGCAAAATCTGGCAACTTCTGTTCTCGCGCTTTTAGCCAGTCTGCGTGAAACTAAGCTGGGGGTTAGACAGCTGAGCTGTATCTGCACTGGTTCTTTCCCTTCGCCGGTGTCTGTACACCTTCTGCTTCCTGATAGGAGAATTGCATGAGTTGCTTGCCTCTTGAGTTAAACCCAGGCCTCGGGAGCTGTGACATCCGTTCTGAAGCTCCTAATCTGTAAGATTGTTTTCAAAAGTCTGCCCTGGTAAGAGCAAGTCATGCAGCCCGTGTCCCAGTGCAAACTTCGGGGGCGTGTTGGACTTTTTTATTTTGGCGGTGTGCCTCCACGGGCTGTTGCAGGCAGAAAAAAAAAAAAATTAAGGCCAAAATCTGGAATTCGAAACTGCCCCCAATCGGGAGGTACGCTTACCTAGTTGGGGGGCGGGGGGTAAGGGAAGGGAGTGTTTTTGTTCTGAGAGGGTTTTTTGACCATCACAGACAGATCTTTCTCTTCTATTAATAACTGCAGTTTTTGAATGGCATCTGGTAAAGCAACTGGAGATGGCATCTCTAGTTACTAATTTTATCAGTCTGCACTAGGAATTGTCCAATTAGCATTGCAGAAAACGATGCCTTGATTCAGATATATAATCACTGGCTTACACTTGTGTGTGTGTGTGTGTGGGGGGGGGGACACAGCTCATAGCCATACGTCTTCAAGATACCGCTTTAATCAAAGTCATTCACGTGTAGGTAAGGTTGGTTTTAAGTTTGCTAAAGTTTCTGGCTTCCATATATAGAGGTTGGTAGTATTTGTATTTGATTTTTTTCCCTGTTATGCAGGCATGAGAATAATATTTACCTGTATAGTTTGTGTGTTGAAGTCTGTGTGGTGAAAGTAGACCTTGGACAGAGTGGCAGGTTGACTTACCTGAAGGCTGAAGGAAGCTTGCTTTAGTGTTTTCACAGAGTTCATTTGAAGAGTTCAAAAAACAACATAAAAAAGCAGAAATTAGTGAAATTAGGGAACAAATGACTTGCCAAACCAAAAGATTGTTCTTTGAAAATTAGTAAGCTAGACAGACCTGTGTTTAACAAGATTGATCAAGGATAAATGATTGCAAATAAAGTAAGTGAAAAGGGGAAATAACAACAAACATGAGATTTAAAACATAATTTTATGAATTTCTATAGGTTAATAAACTTGAAAGCCTAGATGAAATGTCTAAGTAATTAGAAAACTGTAAACTCTGAGAGCTGGTGACAGAAGAAAAAGATAGCTTGAACTGCTTAATAAATATTTAACACACTGAAATGGACCCAGATAATCTTATAAGTGTGTTGCAGTGAACTTTTAGATACTAATACTTAATTCATTTTTACAAGTTGTTCTGGGAAACAGAAAAACAAAAAAAAAAGTCAAGTTCATTTTATGAGGTTAGTGAAATCTCGGTTCTAAAACTAGATAAGGATAATATGAGAAAATTAGCGATCTGTTGCACTTACTAGCAAAGATATGATTAGCAAACACAATAGGATTTTCACACTGTTGAGGCCCAACATTATGTTAAAAAATTATGATCTATAGAGTTTGTTTTAGAAATGTAGGCATGGTTTAACATTTATTTATAATGTAATTTATCTCATTAATAGGCCAAAAGAGAAAAATTATGATTATCTTGATACCATAAAATTATTTAATAAGTCCAGTTCAAAATACAAGGTAACTGTGTAAATGTCATTACCAAAAAGCTACAACAAGTAATACTTATAGAGGAATTTTATATACATTCACTTCAAGATGGGTAATAAGGATACCTCCATCACTATTACTGTTTAACATGATAAAAAAGGTTCTAGTTAACACTATTATAAAGGTATAAGGATAGGAAGGGAAATAATGAAAGTCATCATTTGCAGATAATATCACTTACAAGAATTAGAATCAAGAGAGAAACTATTAGTAAGAGTTTATCAGGACTGGTGAATTAAAGATTAGCCTACAAAAATTAATAGCATTTACCACACTAGCAATCAAAGGCAAATATTGTATAAAATAACTAGAGGCCTGGTGCATGAAATTCATACACTGGGGGGGGGGGGTGTCTCTCAGCCCAGCCTGCACCCTCTCGCAATCTGGGCCCTTTGGGAGATGTTCGACTGCCATTGGGCGAGACCCAGACACAGCCTGCCCCACTCCTGTCAAGCCCTGCCAGTGGGGGACACAACGTCATGTCCCTGGGTAGGGATGCAGCGTACTCGGCCAGCACCCCACCCACTCACTGGTGCCTGTTGTGCAGGCAGCCTCCATGACGTGAGGGCGTCATGACCATTACGTATTAGCTCTTTATTATATAGGATAGCAACAAAACTATAAAGTCTCTAGAAATTAACCCAAGAATACATAAAACTTTTAAGAATACATAAAACTTTTTAAGAATACATAAAACTTTTAAGGAGCTATCTCCTCTGCACTGGCCAAATAGGCTAATGCAGTGGTCGGCAAACTCATTAGTCAACAGAGCCAACTATCAACAGCACAACAATTGAAATTTCTTTGGAGAGCCAAATTTTTTAAACTTAAACTTCTTCTAACGCCACTTCTTCAAAATAGACTCGCCCAGGCCGTGGTATTTTGTGGAAGAGCCACACTCAAGGGGCCAGAGAGCCATGTGGCTCGTGAGCTGCAGTTTGCTGATCACTGGGCTAGTGAAATCAATGGCATACAGTCACCACCCCTACCTTTCAAGTGTTTGCATGACTGATAGTTCCTCTGCAGTGTCCTCAGGGATATACTTTGCATTTATTATTTGTTATTTTGGTAGGAGGGGGCACATCCAGGGGCTTTACTTGTTCCTTCCTATGCTGACGCCCCTTACCCCTGAGGTTGAGATGAGACCTGGAACTCGGGGTTTGGCTCTACAACCTCTCACGCCTCTAACCTTATCTTGCCCGAACCAGCAGCAGTCTGTCCTTTTCCTCGCTCCGACCTTCCGAATCTCACTCAGGGGTAAGGATTCAGTTTCAGTTCTTATGCTATGTTAGTTTTCTGTGACGATAATCACCAAATCTCAGGAGCTTACAGAACAACAAGGGTTTGTGTCTTGCTCACGTTAGGTTGGTGGCGGACAGTTGACGGGCTCCTCACAGGTCCTCATCCTGAAGAGCAGCTCTTGTCCGGTCCGCCATTCTTGGCAGAGGCAGGGAAGAGTGGCCAGAAACACAAAGCTTTTACAGCTTCTGCTCAACTGTAGAAATGTCCCACCTGCTCATTGACCAAACATGCAGTTCCGTCTGAATGTGTTGGGAGGTGAGGGCAATGGGACTAGGGTTTGAGAGTAAAAGGCAAAGAATTAGATAGATGGAGGGAGTGAGGGCGGGAAGGAAGGATGGATCCTGAGTCGATGGATTATACTGTGCTGTGATCGCTTGAGAATTATTAACCCAGTGCATCAAAAGTTTCTGTTCTCTCGTATTTTAAATTGAACTCAGTGAAATTATTTTTTTTTTAAATGTCTGGTTCAAAAACATGTTACATATTGACTGTTGAATTGAATGAAATTAACTGATTTTTATTAAATCATAAATAAATTTGCCCTTTACTTGATCAGGTCCTGTCTGCCAACTTTCATATTGGTAGATTGTTTCACAAGTGGATCACTTAATATATTCAGGTCTTAAAATGCACACTGTTGGCAGCATCTGGTGGTTATTTGGCGTCTTCTTGCCTCCCCGGTTAGTGGGAGTTGTGCTGCAGCAAGCATCCCTATGCTATTGATGGATGCATCCTGGAATCTTACTGGGGATCTTGTCTCGCCACTTTATGATATGTATTATACGAAGTGGCTTTGATGAAACTGTAAGAGACAGACATTGTAGCGTTTATGTAAGCTCCAGTCTCAAATCCCTAAAGAGAATTGAATGTTGTTTACTTCCCCTTTAAACTGTAACACTGTAAGTTGTAACCATTGTAATCACATTTTATTTATTTATTTATTTATTTATTTATTTATTTATTTATTTTTATTGATTTTTTACAGAGAGGAAGAGAGAGGGATAGACAGTTAGAAACATCAATGAGAGAGAATCACAGATCAGCTGCCTCTTGCACACCCCCTACTGGGGATGTGCCCGAAACCAAGGTACATGCCCTTGACCGGAATAGAACCTGAGACCTTTCAGTCCGCAGGCCAATGCTCTATCCACTGAGCCAAACCGGTTTCGGCCATTGTAATCACATTTTAAACTGTTCAGTGTTATATAAAAAATGATGTTGATACCCTTCTTTAACCGGGCAAGCTGGCCTTTAATTTTTCTTACACTTTTGTGGACATTTGGCTATTAAGCTCTGCAGATAGACTTACAGAGACATGTAATTTGTAGTTGCAGGTGTGCTGTCTAGACATCTGAATGGCATTTTACTCAACAAATATTTATTTTGTATACCAGGGTAACAGTATAGCCTCTGGTGATGAATGAGACACAGTGTAGTGTAGGAGATAATGGATAGGTGATTATAATTAAAGTTATGTATGCATATGGTAGCATAGAGGAAACGGAACGTTTATAAAAATGAATAGAAGTT